GGGAGTCATTTTTTTTGCATGAGCAAATGTCTTATTGTTTTAAAACCCCTTTCCCAGTCAAACAAAAGGCAGATGAAAGAGGAGAAGGCAGAAATGGGGTTCCTCTCCATTTTCCAGTCTCTGTACTTTGAGATACTGCTCACTGAATTGCTTAGACTTAAGACTGCTTTATCCCCCTTGTTCGTATTATTGACAAACAACAATTCATCTAAATGAGGTAACATAAAAGATTTGAGCCTGAGTGTATTGTCTTTACCTTAAAGATAAATTGAGATTGATCCAATGGAAACTTGTTTTATTCTTGCAAGATGGCAATGATTAGAATATCCACAGTTCTGCTACTTTTCAACGTGTAAGTATTAAATATTCACTGAATCAGCTTTCTTTTGCATGCATCTTGAAAAACAATTAGGGCCCTTTGAGACTGGAAAAGACATTCGGTTGTCTTTGGTTACTTACATTGAGGTCATTTCAAGGCAAAACCAAAACTGCTCGTGGAATCATATTTTCCTAGAATAACAAACCTGCTGCAGATTTAAAAAGATCCTTAAAACCACATCAAAGTAGGAAATCTATCCAGCAGGTGGATAAAACAAACCTAAGCTTCAACAACATTCAGGCACTCAACTGAATCACCAGAATGTTAATCTTAATTAATAGTATGTTGATAGTTAATGGGTTTCTCAAGAAGTTTAATCATACTGCAGCAAGAAGTAAACCAGGGGAAGATTCTCTTAATAATCTGCAGACTTGACAGACAGGACATAGTAATAGGTTTATTCCATGCTGAAAAAAAGAAGAAAGAGAACACAACGTTTCGGCCGTGGAGCCTTCTTCAGGTGTGAGAGAGACAGGGCAGTAGGCAAAGGTAAAGTAGCGGGAGAACAGGACAGGACATTATAGATTCATGGAAGAGAAAGGATTAGAATCAGCAATGACTTTACAGTATATCTTACAGTGGATGTTAGAGGATCGAGCCGCATCAGCCTTTAGTCTTTGTAATACTTTTCATCATATTAAAAACTTCTGCTGACATTTTTAAACTCTACCTTAAGTTACCTGTTTTTGTCTTTTATTTCTTTTAATTTCACATTTTATACATGGTTTCACTGTACTTTTGTGTACTTTTTATATGTATATTGATATTGATTGATCTACAGTATGTGGAGTTTGTATGCTCACTCTGTGTTGGCATGGGCTTTGCCCCACAGTCCAAAAGACTTACTGGTAAGTTAAGCGGGTTCTAAGAAAATTGGCCCTGGTGTGACTGTGTGCTGTGTGTCTGACCTGCGATGGACTGGTATCCCATCCAGGGTATGTTCTGCACCCACTGCTCTGGCTCTCCTGTGACCCAGTACTGGATAAAGCAGTTAGAAGATGGATGGATTGGCTGATTGATTAATTGAGCAAGAAGGTGATTACAAATACTCCCTAGTACACGAGAGGCACTGTTCCCTCTGGACCAGAAGTTTGAATTCAGTGCCCCGGTATGGTGAGCCGGTACACTGTGCAGCAGGAGGCGCCATCTTTCATTTGAGATGTTAAACTGAGGTCCTGGCAATTCATCCATTTTCTGACTGCTTCATCCAATATAGGGTCACAGGGGAGCCACACCCTATTACTGCAAGCAACAGGCACAAGGCAGGACACACCACACCAGGGCCAGTTACCCTAGCAGTATGTCTTTGGACTGTGGAAGGAAAACCAGAGCCATTTGGGAAAACCCACACAGCGAGAACATACAAAGACATATAAACTACACACAGACAGCACCCCAGGTCCGGAACTTGGCCCAGGGCCCTAGGGCTGCGAGGCAGTAATGCTAACCACCACAGCACTGTGTTACCCAGGTCCTGGATACCTGTGTGTTTATTTTTATGTTGCACTATTTGAAATAGTTAGACTGGGTATCCTGGCTGAATTTCATTCTGGGCTTGTACAGTTTCACTTTCCTCAAGGTCCCCCTTAACTCAACCTGACACTCAACGTGAGAGAACTCCTCAGTCTTCGCTATCTGACCCGTTGTGCGGTGTAGAGCCAGCTCACAGTGGCAGCCCAGGTGAGCACTGCACATAAGTGGCAGACAAAGTGGCTCCTATTATACAGTAGGTGTGAACTGCTTTGAGGTTTTTCAGGACAAAAGCCCTTTATAAATGCAATGAATTAAGAAAGGTAAGCTTGTGTCAGTATCCTAGTTTATTGCATAGCAGAAGGGACTGGAAACAGGTACCATCTTACAAACCCACTTATCTAGGGGGCACTGTGGCACACAGAACAGTTATGCAGGTGAAAATAAAATGTTCAGTCAATCAGCACAAGATTAGCCACATGCTGAACACAAAGTAAAAAGATCAAAAACTGAGACTTATTATCGAAACTCTTAATTGACAACACTAAAAAAAATTTCCACTCTGTCCAAAGATTGGAGGGGAGGGTTGCTTTCTTCATACCAGACCTAAATTAGTAACCAGAGAGCAACAGTAAAAGTAATCAATGCCCTGAGGTCCAGATGAAGTCGAAGATTAGAAAACAATAAATCTCAGGAACAGACACTAGAAACAGACCTGTAAATCACATGTGAATTATGGGAAAATTAAGAAAAAAAAAACATTTCCTTTGCTAGTGTCTTCAGGGTGCCCTGCAAGTCACTTGCCAAGTCGTGATTTAGAACAGTCTGCCAAATAAGAATTTTTTCCTAGGCTGCACCAGCCACAGGTATCTTCACTTTGTTAGAAACATGTCTTTCCATGCATCCGTAAGTGTGCAGACCAAGAAGCTCACATTCGAAGTGCAATAAAGGAGCCTCTTCTGCCAGAGGTGTTACTTGTTCACCTCCACTGGCAGATCAGTTACGGCCACAAGGGTGCTACACAGTTATTTCGCATTCAAGAGCTCGACTGATTTTTCCATTAGTCTGTGCATTACATTTCTATGTGCTTCAAAGACAACTGCATACATAAGTAATACAAGCATAGCATCATGTCTCAGTTTCCAGTGCCTGAGCACTTGCAGTATAAACATGAACATCTAGAACTGGAACTGGTCGCCATGCTTCAGAAGAGGGACGATTTCAGCACAGTCCTCTGTGCTAAGTGTCATGATGGAAGCTAATTCCTAACCGACAGTAATATCTGGAAAGACATCTACCGTACCTGTCGCTCATTTTGGAAACTGAAGCTCTGCTTGCTGGCAAAGAACTGAATTTTGTTGACTCTCGGCCAATGAATTCCCTTTGTTGCCCTCCCCATACAGCACAATAGGGCCCTTTGATGTGGAGGGGCACCAGCCATCCTGCTCACACCGGTCATAAAACTGCCGTAAATCTCCTCAACAATAACAGCTTCCTTCTCCACCACAAGACAGCCATATAATTCATTTTCTCCCTGTATTTTAGCAAACATGCCCAAGTAAGGTTGTGAAGACTGCTGCACGAGAATAGTGGTTTCCAGCTCTAACACAAGCTCCGATTCCCCTGCCAACTCACGTCCCCCCTGGACTAACTGCAGACCGGTGCTCTTTGACACTTTATACAGTCTCTGGTCTACTATGTAAGACTGGTTTCGTAATGCCTTAACCTCTCCTTTGGTCAGGGAATTAGGTTCTCACTAAAAACTGGAAATGGTTGTTGGAAAAAAATACATTACGCTGACAACAATCTGTCAGGAGACATGAAAAAGTAACTGCCAACATGACGTTACTGAATCTTCAGCTGTCACGGGTTCCCCCTACAGGCTAAACACACTGCTTCATCCATAATTAAATCACAGGGAAAGACAACTGTGGACTTCTTTCTAGTTTTTGTTTAATTAACATTGATTTATTTTGCTTTCTGTTCAAAATTTATGATTAGTGTGCTTCCTCAAAATTTTAAATTTCAGGGACCAACTCTTGCACTTGGTGTAAAGCCCAGAGCCATTTCCTACCACTTTTAAATAGTTCAAAGCAACTTTATTGTTGTTTTTCAGCGTGGATGGTTCATAAAAAGCTTGCTGTGAAAGTGTAAGCACATACTGTATTTACAACCCCAATGTGGCCTAATTTACCCAGGCCTCCCAGCCCATTGTTCACCCATGTTTCCTGACTTAAATATCAGCTGCTGACCTCCTGCTCTGACAGAAATGACCACAGATGGTCAGTTGTCCATTCAGTGGTGTGGAATTCTCAGCAGCCCCACCACCACTATGGTAAGTGAATCAGATCTAAAGGCAACAATGTTAGCTGGACCTCTGCCCACTGGCCTCCCCCCTCTCCCCAGCAGTTGGGGGGTACCCTGACACAAACAGCCAAAGGTCAAGCTCCGTGAGCAAGAGGAATGCCTCTTTTTAAAGGTAGTTTGGGCCTCAAAGATGGCCAATGCGTCTCACATGAAAGACCTGTGTAATTAATCTTTCCTGAGCCTTGTTGTCAATAGCTACTCCTCTGGTAGTTTCGTTATTGTCCTGCCTGGTCTGAAGGCCTTTTAGCCCCCAAAAAGATAAACGATGGTCAAGACAGGGGGATCAGTTTACTTTAAAAGCTAATTGTAATCAGGTCATTACTCATGGGAGGGAGTAAGAGATAAATTGCCTTATCTGACCCAAAGACAGATAAATAATATACATATATGAGCTGGCCAAACTTGTACAGCTTTCTTGTACAGAAAGCCACTGACAAATACTGAAATTAACTTTACCCCAGATCTCAGAGGACACCAAACAAAAGACGGCCCGAAACTAAACTTATTTTCAAATAACCTGAAATGAGAGGAGGCCCGTCTATCTCACCTCATCCAGCCGTTTCTTGAAACAAGCGGCTTAAACAACACAGCTGGGTAGCTTGTTCCACACCCCCATAACCATACCAGCTCCCACGACACAATCTGTGCTTTCTGATCACCTGCTCTTCTCTATTAAACTGCGAGATAAACACCATTTCCCTACATGATTTCATGCTAAAGGCAGGTGAAGAGAGAGAGGGAGACTGGCCCTCCAGCCTGGCTAAGGGAAACAAGCGGGTCTTACCGAGTCCTCCAATGGTGTGGCGCAGCTCCTGGGCTCGCAGCTGGATGGGGGCGCTCTCGGGCTGGCTCTCCTCCCGGTAGAACAGCCTGTAGCCCTGGATGCTAGCTGCGTTGACTGGGGAGGGCTGCCACCTCACCACGATGGTGGTGCAGTTTAACGGCTCCAGGCTGATTTCTGGAGCCAAGGGCACTGTGTGGATACAGAGAGCACACTGTTAAGGACAGCTCGAGCAATCCTGAGTGCTTAAGGTTAGAAATTCAGCATGTTTTAATGCTTTATACGCATGGTGTATATTGATTCAGGTAGGCTGCAAAGGAACAAGTAATAGGTTTATTCCATGCTGAAAAAAAGTAGAAAGAAAACATGTTTCGGTCGTGGGGCCTTCTTCAGGTGTGAGCACCTTTTTGCTCACACCTGAAGAAGGCCCCACAGCTGAAACATTGTGTTTTCTTTCTTCTTTTTCTTAGCATGGAATAAACCTATTACTTGTTCCTTTGGTGTATATTTATGCCTATGTATTTGGAAGAGCTGATCCCTTTAGTATCGATTTTGTCTCAGCCCATGATGGGTTGCAGGAGATAAAGGAGAGAAGTTTTTGTGACTGATACAGGCTCTCATATTGATGGGGATGTGTTGGTTTTTTTTTCATAAACGTAAGCTGCCCTTAACGACAACCACTTTGCAAGCTTTGTGAAGTAGTGTGGGGAAAGTCATCATTACTCATGCGCTCTTTGTTTCTTTAAAAAAGTGCATTACTCAAACCTCCCCTGCACCCCCTGTCACCTCCTGGTCCACAGGGCAGGTCCCTGCATTGCGCTGGGAAAGGCCAGTTTGCCTTCATTATGCAGATTTTATCCAGGGACACTTTTCAAGGGAAACTGCCCAATAATGCTGCTTCTGCTTACACCTGATGTTACAAAAATGACATTCTCACTCGGTCTTTGTATTGATGGCGCTATTTTTTTAATGCATGAAAACATCTATGTTAATCTCTGAATCTTCTAAAGCAAAGGGAAACGTCACTGCAAAACAAGTTATCTGTGTTTATGAAATGTGTTTCTACAAGACATCTGACCCAACACCATACATCTGATAATTGATACATCCTGTTGGAATAATGTGGAATGGAGTTAGTATTGGCTTACTGCACAGGTGTCGGATCACAGGAGTTTACACCTCACTTATTAAACAACTGTGTTGGACAAATCCAAAGATCTTGATAGTTTTTCTTTAAAAAAAATACAAATTTTATCAATTAATCTATAGAGCAGGACATTTTGGCGTCTGCCTCTCTCTCCTGCTCTCTGAGCGCCCTGCTGTTTACTTTATCTGATGGAAAAAACAGACCCAGCACGTGCACACCACCTACCCCCACCCCTAAGAAACACATCTATCGTCAGTGTCGGGAGAGTCAGAGCCTAGCCCGCTGGAATAAGAAAAGTGTGCTGGGGGAATAAAGACTATGGGTCCTTTCATGCTGAATGGGACAGTCCACTCACATAATCTCTTTCCCTACCTGAGGTTCTGAAATGAACTTTAATTGTCAGGCAGAAAATGCTGGAGTTGGGAATGCGCGCCCCTCCCCCCTCTCTAGCACAGATTTTGGTTTGAAACAGGCCTATTCTTCCTTTGAGACAGAGGCCTCGGTCTTTCTCTTTATGACCCATGACTGAGGCCATTCTGATGTTACTGACAGTAGAGGGCAGAGGTCACAGGGTAACAAACGCAATGCCTTAACAAGATTATTAGAGCAATTTCTTCCCAGCAGCTTGACCACTCTTTAATGCGTGTTTGTATCCAGAAGCAAAAGTTTTCCAAATTTAATTCATGTGAAGGGCTAGTTTAACTTTTAGCTTTAGCCTTACTACACCCCCATAAAAAAGGGAATGATGTTTTTCAGTAAAAACCCCTGCCACAACTACTGTTGAGCTACTTCTTAAAATACAGATGGACCAATACTAATCCAGACGAGAAACTACTAATGCATAAGAACATTCCCACTCACATACACAGAATGAGAATGTACAAAGTATCACATTTCATTAAGAGACCCTTAAAAAGCTCATAGGTTTTCCACTCCTAAAGACAACATGAGCCTATAGTCCATGTCTTTCCTCTTCATCACCTATGTTTAAGAACTGAACTTAATTTCAGAGGAATTCAGAGGAATCTGAATTGATGGATACCTAATTTTTAAGAAATTCACAAACATGTATAATTAATCAAAAAGAGGGCATAATCTTAAGTATAACAAAGGTATGATATAAAAACATGTAATACACAACAGTATTACATGTGAAGCTAGCTACTTAAGATGTTTTTTCTTTTTTTTCTTTTCTATTTGCTCTTCTGTAAGAAAGCTGCATAGCTTCAGTCCTTACTTGCTTCAGGGTCTATTGGTTTTCATTCCACTTGAGCTCTTAATGGCATACCTGTGCTAATCTTTACTTAAACAGACCAGTTCTACCCAGATCTCAGGCTGAGGATAATTTAAAGAGATGGAGAGAACAGAACAGCAAGGTGGCGCATCGTTTAGCACCACTGTCTTGCAGCACTGGGGCCCTGGGTTCAATTCTGGACCTGGTGTGCTATCTGGTGGAGTGTGTATGTTCTCCAGTTTCCCCTGGTTGCTCTGGTCTCCTCCTACAGTCCAAAGACATAATGAGAAGCTAAATGGCTTCTGGGAAAACTGGCTCTGGTGTGAGTGTGTGCCCTGCAATGGAGTGGTGTCCTTGCACCCATTGCTTGCTGGGATAGGCTCTGGCTCTCTCACGACCCTGAACCAGATGAAGCTGTTAGAAAATGGATGGATGGAGGAAGAGAACCTGCTGAGCTAGAGATAAGAAGGGAGTGGTGTACCTTTAGCACTGGAGGCTTTGGGGGTTCTGTGTGAGGTCCAGACAGACTGCTCCCCCCAGCCCACGCGGGTCGCTGCGGCAATGCGCAGCAGGTAGATGGTGTCGGGCTCCAGGGCTTGCAGGAGGTGCTGGGTCCGGTGCCCTGGGACCTCCAGAGAGGTGACCGTGCTCTCCGTACTGGTGCGGTAAGACAGGCGGTACGACTCGATGCGCCCGCGGCTTAGTTTGGCAGGTAGGGGCTGCCAGGACACCAGGATGTCCGTGGGGCTGCGGCTCGTCAGGCTGACCTCTGGGGCACGCAGCGGGACTGCAAAAAAAAAGATGCCACACTTACCCGTCTGAGAGCCAAACGATACGCTGACAGCAGCTGAACCATTCTACCATTTCTGCCCTTCAAAGCACACATGGACTGAAGCTCCATAATAGAGCACCAACCAATGGGCAGGCACCAGCAAGAAACCAACAAGGTTTCTTTCTTTTGGGTTAATTATGAGTGTTGAGCATTCCTTTTTTAATGGAACGTTGTGGCAGATGAGACCGATACTCTTAGAAAGTAGTTAAAATGTTGCAGCAGAAATCAGTGTTCAAACTGAATTAAAAACAATTGATTTTGGGCCAACTAGGATAAATGCCCTCAGGTGAATTTGCTTTGTTGTACAACAAAGTGCTTGCATAATGAAAAAAAAACATACTGACCTAGGCATTTAAATTTGGAAGCATTATTAACATTTGACTCTTATTACACTATGGCCTGCTTTGTATACAGATGTTGCAAAAGATTTTATACCCAGCAGCAGTTACAGAGTTAAGCTGTGCCCATTTTATTTCCCTTTTAAGATGTCACGCAACGCACACTAAGAAATACGATTTGAACTGAGAAACCGGAGAAAAACAATCCTGCAGAAAATTTCCTTCAAGGTCAGGCGCCAAACAACCCACTTCCAAGTTCCAAGTTCACTCTGCAGAACTTTGAAAGCCACGTTGACAAAAGTAGAGCTTCTGAATGTTGTGCTCTTCCATCTTTCACTTGTTTGTAATTCTAGGATTTTTTTCAACAGACAAATTCAATTAGCTGGATTACTTACTGTAAATCAAACTTCAGATAAGTTAAAAAAGTCTGGCTGGGAAATGCCTCTCTGCATTGAAGTGCTCAATTTAGGATAGTCTATCTATGTGCAACAGCTCAACATTAACACTTTCAGTCACAGGTATAAGCACTTAACAGCAGAAACGGTCAATTCCGAATCATGAACTGGAAATTTACTTTCATAAATGACAATTCTTAAATCTTGGTCAGCTGCAGGAGGCTAAATTTGAGATTACATTGAATCATGATGAAGGAATCTAAGACAATGTCTGGTATGAGCAGATTCAGAAAAGAATTTAATTTTATTAATTGAAATGAATTGAAGATAGTGACCTTCGTTCACTCTCAATCTGGTGATAAAATTACAATCAGAAAAAGTTATTTAAATGGATGCAAATTAAAGTTTACTAAGGCACAGGCAACATATTATAAACAAATTGTAAGATACTGTGTGAGATGCCAGATCTTTTTTTTATTAACAATAGAAAATAAAGCATAATTAATGTGGACTTTGACACATCATACTGTACATTCAATTTTAATCACAATTGTTATGCATACTCTAAGACCTCCAACGTTAATGTACAGATGTACTATACAATTCATTACTGCTTGTAACCTGGTCAGCACTGTAAAAGTGTTTAAATACAGACATGTCTTGAGCGTACAATGTATTTGTCCTCTTGCCTAACTGATTAAAAGCCAATTCAAAAGTCATTCTCTGGGGCAACTGACCTCTATTTGCCCCACAGAAAATAAACCTCAAATGGAGATTTAATTACTTTGGCAGTTTTGAAAGAACATTACAATTTTGACACACAGCCACAGGCTAAAGAGCTTAATTGTCATCTAGAGGAAAGGAATGCATTGGCTAAACTAGAGGGCAATAGGACTCCAGTCCAGCAGGACTGTACATACAGCACATTCAAGATGAAGCCCAATCGCCATTACAGTTAACACTGTTCATTAGAGTTACAATTAATTTAACACCAAGAAAACAGAATTACTTCAATCCTAAGAACCAACTTTCTTCTTTTAATTGCAAGACAAACACAGAGTGACAGGCTACCGAGGCTTAAAATTGGCTTTCCAATCAGGCTCTGCCATTTTGCAAGTCTAAATAATGATCCCAGATCCAGTGGAGCTCAATAGCAAGCATGCAAATTGAAGGCGATTATACACCCCCAGCTCTTTTCCTGTGCGACTGTGGCGGGAAGCAGGCTGGGAGGGAGCCTAAGTGCTACTCACCATCTTCCAAGGTGTGCTGGATAACATGGTCTGACATGCGGCTGGCTCCCATGGGCATGTAGGCCACGATGTAAAAGGTATAATTGCGAGCTGGCTCCAGGTCATCAATAATGTACCGGGTCGTGTCGTTTCCAATGACCACTTGATATTCTTCATTGTTTAAACCTGGTTTGGTGAGAGGGAGAGAGAAAAATACAGTCGGCACTTTGGAAGACAGTATTTACACTAATAGGCCAGGGTTGCACCCACTCAGCACATTTCTGTATAGTAGACTTGGAGCCGCTGCTAGTTTCCCAGAGCAATTGCAATTAAACAGATATAGCGCAGTCACCAAGTGTCACTCCTCTCCTTATATTACGCTCAGGCATCAAACCTCATGCAGAAACACCCCAACACAGTGCTTGGACATTACCTCTGTGGTCGCCAATAGTTCAGACTGTACCCCTTTTTCCTTTTTTCAGTAGTACTCCCCACTATACAACCGTGGGGGCTGCTATCCTGAAACTCTCAAACATGGCAGAAAGTGTCATTTATGAGATGCTTGTGCGTCAGGAAATGTGAGGGATCATGCAATTAATTTCTTTCAGTGGAAACTTTAGCTCTATATTCACCACACATAAAAACAGCAAATGGAGAAATCCATCAGTGTTCACTACACAAGTGTTTCCTAAATTCAGAACAAAACCATGCCGAGCCCTCCATGCTCGTTAAAAAAAACAAGTCTTTTCCCATCCAGAACCAAAAACAGGTCCAGCAACCTGAGGTAGTAACATCCTTACAAAACAGTTGATTGAATGTTCGGTGGCTGAAAATGTACACATCTTAAATGTACACATCACATCTTTTATTTAAAGCACACTGCTGCTTGGTTTAGGTAGATAAAAAGGTCTCCTCCATCTTGATATTTATCGTCATTAATCATGTCTTTTAATGATATATGAGATCACTATCTCCACAGTACAAGTTATTAAGCAAACGCTTCAACAGCTCACATGAATTATAATTCTTTTCAATGTTAGCAAACTGCACAAGATTTGTTGCCAGTCGTCACATAGGTGCACACATCAGCACCAGACAAAGAGTGTTCCCGACTATATGTGAGGTACTTGGGAGATTCATTGGAATGGAAGGTACTACACAAAATTAAAGCAATTAATTGTAATCACTCCAAGCTGGATTCAAAGGTAGGCAACATTCACTCACTTCTATAACTGGACATTAGCTAAACGAAGGACAGAGGTGGAGACATCCTGTTCTCCTTTACATTTATGCAACTAGTCAAAAACCAAGAAACATGCCATTCTTCACCTCATTCTCTGTTTGGCCAAATGTACCCTTCAAAACTGGAATCACTTTGCTGATTTCAGCATGGAGATGAAACAGCCACACCTGTTCATCAAGCAGTAACCACAGCACTGACATCCTGCACCATTCAAGACTTACAACCTAGCAAAGATAGCTCTAGAATATCAGCCTGCTATATGATACTGGAGTACTACTACCGGAAAACAATGCACTTTGTAAAAGACCCCATGGAAAGAAAGATCCATGATTTCTAAATACAGAGCAGTGGCAACTGACAGCAAGAAGGATATTGTTTCAAAGGATCTGTTTTTTTTTTTTTCAAAAGTCTGGATCAGAAGAGTGAGAATTGTAAATGAGGTGCTCATGCAGAGATGGAGAATGATTTTTTCTCAGTCTAAATATGGAGGATTGCAGGTGCAGACAAAATGTTTAAAAGCACCACTCCCTCTGAAAATGTTCTCCAAATCCACGGCTGGGATCGGGGTTCTAAGAATTTTAATGTACTTCAAATCCATAGATATCTGAGTTGCTGATTTTAGTTTGAAATGCCTCCCTGCCCATCTCTGGTACTAATAACAGAAATCAACAGGAATTCTGACCTGTTGTTACTTGGCCCTTTTGAGTTCAGTAAAAAGACTTCAGTTCAAACATGTAACAAGAGTGCTACAGGAATACCCATCCCGAGCAAATTAAAGAGTCTCAGATGAAGTATTAAAGGGAGAAGACCTACTATTTAGTGTAATGCAAAACCAGTTTCTCTGTACAGAAAAAATCACTTTCCTACAGTTGCCTGACATATTTCAACCAAACATGTTACTTAATAAAAAATGCATTTCTTTTCCCAAACTGCAATATTTTCTGATTAACTGAAAACTTAAACAATATGCAGAAGAAGTAAAGATCCCTAGTTAAGAGTTAATAAAGTGATAAATATGCCATATTGACTCATACTTTTAGATCATTCACTAATTATATTTTTCAACATTTTCAATATCTTTGGATTAGTGGTGTCACATCTTTCAACTAATTAACCAATAAAAACAAGAACTCGAATATTCACATACTTCAGAGGCCAGTTAATTGGGCAAAATCTAGACTGAATAAACCTGCAGACTTGTCTCCCTTATAGTTGCTGTGTTTGCCTCAACAGTCAGGTTCACTAATTATTTTACCATTTTAAACACAAAGAAAAATAAGAGTCCTGTGTGTCTTTCAATCTCTGCTAAATTCTCTACTTTTCATAAGCACTATATGAACAATGAGGGCTTTGGGACTACAAAAAGCCTTAGATTAATTATAAAGATAAGAGTAATTTTAAAGAATAGAGTACAAAATGGAATTCTCCTGTCCACTCCAAACCAATGTTTTAATCTCAGTTTTACTATGCTCAAAAGCACCCTTTTCTGTGCACAGAAGCCTTCCCAGAAAGTGTTAAGATTTGCATACATTTAAACTACAAAAAAAGGTTCTGACCTTTTATATCCCTTTTAGAACTTATTTTTTCCCCCAGTAAAGTCCAATTAAAACATAATCACTGAAGCTTAAGGGGGACAGGTTTATGTCATTGTTCCTTTCAGTGAATTTGTGGATTTGTCTGTAACTACATACTTGAGGAGTAATTCTCAGGCAAGGAAAAAAAAGCCGTCAACTTAATCAAACTTGTTCCTCCCCTTTACAGGCAATTTTTATAAACACAGCTAAAGCCAAATTCCACAATTAAATTTTCCCACATTGCTGAATGTGCCTGATAGCATTTTAATTAGCAGAGATTAGAAAGGTCACACAACAGAATCACTTATTGCTTGTTCATATTGAATTGCGTGGCCCGATTTCTGACCTAGTAAACAAGATCCTTAAGAGTAAACAGAATAGGCCTTGTTTAGAAAGTGAATACAGTGCTAGGCCTCATACTGAGGGCTAATGAAAGGCAGTATAATAGGAGACAAAGACTGCCTTCCACCCAGACCCGCGCTCTTCCAATACCTTCACAAAATCTCTAGTGTTGAATTAGCACACTCCAACACACACTTTAATTAGGCCTCCTTTTCATTAGAGCTCCATTCATTTCATGCTGTCTGTTTGTGACCTCAGACAGAGAATGCAATGCTGGAATGATTCTTGTCAATATTAATGGCCCTGCTCTATGAAACAGGACAAAAATGTGGTAATAAATTGTAATCAAGTGCACTAAATCTTTGACAGATGCCAGCATTTCAAGAAGAGGAACGTTGTTTTTCTACATTAGGTAGAAGCATACATTTTTTAGCAGGTGGTTCTTTTGCTGAACGTTTTTTTCTTCTTCCACAATGGATGAGGATAACTTGAACACATAAGAACAACGTTATGGTCAAATTAATGTCGTTAAGTAAAGCTTTGTTAGGTTCCGAGTTCTACAGGCACTTCATCAAATAAAAAAGAATTCACGACAGCGATTTTTGTCCCAGCTTGTGCCCAGGGGGTTCTGGCGACTGCTTTTTCATCACAGGAATAAAAGAGCATATTCGGCTGAAGGACAACTGTCACGAGGTTATTTCTGAACGGAGAAGAAAAACTAAATGAAATTCGTTAAGGGGGTTGTTTCCATCACTATTTAATGCATTTCCATTTGGCTGCTTGCATCGGGACCCGTGGCTCCAGGATTATAAAAACCAGGGTTTGGATTTGCTTACAAAACATGACCGGACTGGTGGAGGACCATCCCAACAGGCAAACCCTGTTTGCACAGAGAAAGCCGCTGCTCTTGCCTTACTGGGGAAGCCCTTCTTTTCCCTTGACCTCTGCCCAGCAACACACTATTAACAACAGATGGTCAGTTTCTCACATTCCGTTTCGGGTTCTGAGGAACTGAGGGTGTTGCGGATTCCAAGCGGAATGTTTATAAAACTCGGGGGGCTACAAATTACTTCAAGTAAGACATCTGGTAAGGCAGACTGGGTTTCATTAGACTGCTAAAAACAAAAGCTGGACTACAGTATGTCAGGACTGGGGATGTTTTTTTGTTTTTTTTTTTGTTTTGCTTTGCTTTTTAATTAGCAAACGCGTTCATATTTTAAACGGCGGTTTATTCAATGAACTGCTAACGGGGAAGGTGGCACACGTAGCGCTTGGCTGCAATCAGGCCAAGGGCTGGTGGAGCCCTGCTAACACCCCCACTACCACTCCCCACCCCCAACCCCCCTTCCCGAAGCCGTCTAAGGCTAACACCTCCTCTAAACCAAGAGAAATCAATAGGCGTTTCTAGGCAGCGTCACAGCAGTGTCGGGAGCGCGGCCAACAGCAGCACGCTCGTGGAGCGTGCGACTGGAGCGAGCCCCTTCCCTTGTGTTGGCGAAGAAACATGCTGCCGTCCTCCCAGCACAGTAAGAAACGCACTTGCAGACGAATGGCAACAATCCAGACACCGAGCGTGGCGGAGAGAGAGGGCCATCTGCCGCTTACCTTCCGCTTTCATGTAGTGCACAGAGTAGGCGATGACTTTGTCCGAGTTGTAGAAGGGCCGGTCCCAGGCCAGCAGGATGGCGGAGCTGGACACGGTCTCCGCGCGGATGTTCCTGGGCGCGCTGGGCCTGTCCTCCGACATCACCACGATCAGCCTGGCCATCGCCAGCACGGAGCCTTGGTCGTTCTCGGCCACGCACTGGTAAATGGCGTCGTCCTCGGGGATGATCTGGTTTATGACCAGTTTGCTAGGAAGAAGGAGAGCCCGTTCGTCAATTTACACACTGACCATGAAAGACCATGAAAGTTCATGAAAGTCCATAAACCCAAGATGCAATTACATGCATTATGTTCTGCTACCAGGTTAGTATACCACCACACCCACTTAACGATGTATTCTGTCACAAAGATTCCTTTTTTTTGTCTTTTGTCAGATTTTCTGGCCAATAACTTGTCAGTGCCAATGCTTGTGGCTTTGACACCACAGCAGACAAAAAGGATTTAACACTTTAAAACTACAGTGGCTGAATATTGTGAGTATACAGAAGTGAAAATGAGTGCCTAATACCACAGATTGGTATAAGAAAATTTGGCAGCTATTTTTTGGTATAACTTAAAACTCGACTGGCTACAGCACCATTAATTTTCATGCTTCCGCTCCAGAAGCGCCTACCTGTTGTACATCTTGATTCTGCCGTTGGAGTGCACCTTGTCTCCATTCTTCAGCCAGGTGATCCTGGGCGAGGGGATGCCCTCTGCCTGGCAGACGAACCGTGCCGTGCCCGCCCTCGGCCTGGTCAGACTCTCGGGCCACTCCACAAAGGAGGGGGGAGCTGGAGACGGAAAGAGGAAAAATAAAAAATAAAATCAACGCTGTCCCGTTTTTAGTCCAGAGGAAACCGAACTAAAACAAATCTATGAAGAAAGGTTATGGTTATGGTTGATATGATTTTTTCAAATATATACACACACATTTGCAATTGTAGAACATGTACATATCAAGTATTAGCTTTCTATAGCAAACACTCTCACAAATTTAACATTTTGCAACATCCCTCCAGCATTACATTTTATATCACGTGTGCTTTCAGCTCAATAATGAACTGGCAGAAGCATAATGCAGAGTAACTGGGCCCACACAGAAGGGGTAGGGCTCAGGCCCACTGTGTTTCCAATTTCGGCGAATATGGTCGTCAAAACCGAAAAATGAACGTATGTTTTCCATACGAGTTTTCCACTGCCCGGCGCACGTGGATTTCTGAGGCCAGGGCAGGCTGCTGAACGCAGAGGCTTACCCAGTACAGTGAGCGTTGCCATGGCCACAGTGAAGTTGCGTGTGCCAGGGGTGGTGGCCCTACACACATAAACCCCAGAGTGCTGCAGTTTGACGTCTGAGATGATGAGGTTGCCGTTTCCCAGCACGCGGGTGTTAAACACGTCGATGGACTTGTGGTCTATTAGGATACAGAACAGTCAAGTTTGCCCACACTACTGAACCAAGTCATCTGAAATAAACAACTTGCAATAATTACACAGTCTGCAAACCCTCTCTGCTTCCAGAATACCACAAAAAAAACAGACTATGGTTTTACTGATGCTGTGATGCATTTCCAAGTTCGTTATTCTTTGACCCCAATTATATCTTTACTACGAATTCAAAAACGAATGTATTTGAATTAAATACCTATCAAGGCATCCAGTGGTAATTAAAAGTATACATTATTTCATTGTTTCTGTTACAGGTACGTAACTCACACCACTGAAAAACTTCAATACGTTGCACAGTGTCAAAGAGCTTGAAACTACTTTTAATCAACGATCAGGACCGCCTTTCAAACGCAACCTTAAAACCGAACACCGATTACCTAGGCGACTCCAAGAAATAATGGGCTTTGGATTTCCAGTGGCCACACACTCCAGGATAGCGCTCTGATGTAGAGATGTTGTAATGTTCTGAGGTCCTGCGATAATTTTTGGTCTTTGCAGTGGTCGGGGGCCTGAAACTAAAAAATTAAAACATCTAAATCGGACCACCAAGTTCCAAATGACATGTTAACAAAGTCCCAGTGAAAGAATGACACCGCTTTAGCTTCAATAATAAAAACAATCATGATAATGACTTTCTTCGTTATAACCCAGAAGGGCTTTGCATATACAAAAGGATCCATTTCATCCACCACATCATCAGTAGCCCCACCAAACAGTAGGTGAGGGGGAGAAAAGTCAGGAAAGGCCTTTCATTGGAATTAAGGGGGAGACTTTGGTGGGCCACCATGAGTAAGAACAATGTGGAATTTAGCCAAGACGCAGAGGTTAAGACCGTGGGTTCTTTCATGACACAGTAGTTAGGACTCTGGTTTAATTTCTCATCTAAAAGCTGGCACCCCTGAAAATAAACAGTCTCCCATTACCGAACTGGGGCACTGAGTCCAGAAGGAAGAGTGACACCTACAGGTCCAACAGCACCACTTTCGACACTGAGAAGAAAACACTACATACCTGAGGTAATAGTCAGTGTTGCCTCTGCGCTTCTCCGGCGGTTTGCAATGTTTGTAGCTACACAACGATAATTCCCGGCATCCCCTTGCTCTACACCCTGGATCTGCAGGACTCCATTTGGAAGCACAGTAATCCTATAGGAAACCAAGGCAGAGGATCTTGTCACAGAATCATCAGAAACTCCTGATCAGGAATAGCCACTGGAAACTACGAATTTGCTACGAGCTTGGGGATGTTACATGAAAAGGCAAGACAAATCATACGTTCATTTAAGCTGCAGAACAGTGTATGAAAACTCACACAGGCATTCAAACTGCATCTATTAACAATATCTTTTGACATCTTGTATGCAACCAAACTGTGTTTTGGTATTGTTCCACTGTAGAATCTATACTGAAGAGTGCTTACAGTTACAGGTTATGTACCTGCATGAAACGAGATCCCTTCTTCTGAAGTCACGGCGCTCGTCGTGCTCAATTTCTAACTGAAAATCAGTTGGAAAATTGCAAGTCCACAGGCTGTAGCCACGAAACTAATAGGATGGAAAGGTGGCCAGATGATACCCATCTGTAAACTGATCACTCCCTACCTTTCTGTTGCAAGAGGTAAAGTGGTCCGGTTGAACTCCCATGTGATGATTGGCTGAGGACTTGCATTTATCTTGCAGGCAAATCGGGCCACCGAGCCTTCAGCTACCATTGTCGACACTGGCTGAATCTCAAAGGTAGATATACCTGCGGGGCAAAAAGAGCCTGGTTAGCGAAGCACATGATGAAATGAAAAGGTGGCTTGGTGGGCATAGAAAACAAAGTGAGGCTTCTACTGACACACACTGAACCCTTCATGGCACTCCGCTGTGTAGCACCCTAGACAGGCACTTGCAGAAAGCCATCACCTGCTACTACAAATAAAAAAATCTCCCAAAAGCTCAAACTCTACTCAAACTCTAAAAAGCTTTTTAAATCAAAGTTGGGGATGACACATTAAGAGTATGACAGAAAGATGCAATTTCCACTACTTTTAAATTTTCTCCTACACAATGAGTGAGATTTGAATCAATGCCCACTATTATGAACTTCTGTTATCTATGCGAGAAAATAGTTAAGACCTGTCAATATAAAAAATTAAAGTAATCAGAGAGGCTCTACAAAATAACCATGCTAACCTGAAGATCAATACAAGCCTTTACAATTAAAATAAACCCCAACCCTGATCAATGAACAAAGAAATGAATGTTATCTACCACAGAACCAAAGCTCTTAAATCAATGAATGTATCTGGGACAATTACTTTACTGCCCTTAGAAATGTCAGTTCTGTCTGCATGTTGCCTTATTAACACTTCCAGTGGTGTAAACCTTATTTTTCAATTTGCTTCCTATTATTAAACTAAGAGTAGTCTGCCATTATTCAGTAATCAGACACAAAAATGTTCACTAATGGCACTTACTGAAATCAGCTTTTTCTATTGAGCTGTAAGCAATATCTGATCAATAACCAATGCTGGTCTAACATAAAGAATTCTACTATCATTGCAAAAATAGCTTTTCCAAGAAAATGGCTTAAACTTTAAAACCAGTTCGGCATTTAGAAGTTTAGAGTTCAACATCAAATGTGACTCCAGTCATCCAAAAAATATGTTACTAACTATAAAGTTATTTGTACTGGGAATTGGAGATACAAGCATACAGTACCTCTTGAAACAAGAAAGCATAGTACATGTCGGACAAGAAACAGATTTTTGCATCGTATTACTGTTTAATGCATTTTTAGTTTAATACTGTTCAGTACTTTAGTGCAAAAAATGCCAAAAATAGCTACAGAGCAGACTGATAATGTGAACTAAAATGGTAGGTGACATTAGTTTGGACTGTACAGATGCACAGATGTGTTTTTCAGGTAAGAAACCTGGTGTAAAACTACACAGAAACATGCCAATGTAGGCACCAAGCTGTTAAGAGTCCTAAAAAAGAACAGTTTGACAAGAGAAGAACAAGCTCCCACTCTCCCTGATCCATTTAAATACTGAGATGATTTTTATTCATCATCATTAGCTCTGACAGACATTCCTGAAAAGTAGTGTGTGGATCCCAGTCACTTTGTTAGTGTGATTAAAACAATAGAAAATAAGTATTATGTCCAGGAGTCACTTTTTACAGCATGGCCACGTGTGAAAAGAAAAGAAAAGTCACGGTAAAGGAAGCAGTTCTTTTTTCTATGGCACCTGAAAGAAAACATCAAGTGTCTCAATAGCAAGAAAACCCCACACCACAGGGAGTTAATCCACTTTAGAAAAAGTTCTGGCAAAGTAAATTGGATGTCTTTTTTTCACACACTCAATCCAACAACTAATGCCTTTTCTCTTCAGGCAAAGGAAACTGCCAGCTGTTCTCTCCCATTAAAGTGATTTTGCCATGGTTTTCAAAACCAATCTGAAACAAGGAAGACAAACAGCAAAAGCTATCTAAACCTAATAATAAATGCTTATCGGTCTCTGGATCTGGCCCAGGCTAGCTCTAAAACAAGGAATCGTAACTGGAGATAAGCTTTCTCCGATAAACCTGGCTTTTATCAGTCACAGGCTTATCATTTGAGTGCAAAGACCAAAAGAAGCTACAGTCCCTAATTCACTTTTACAGCTTTTTATGATGCGTTGCAACTCAAATGATGTTGCTGTGAATAAACCCACATCTGCCTATAATTTCTGCACAGAGCCAAGGCCGAAATACACTGGAGCATCTTGTCAGTTTGTTGTCCTGCTTTGGTGCAGTTCAGTTTTTGGGGGTGAAAGAGGAGGGCTCTCCCACTCTATAATAGGGTCCTCAGATTACCTTTTGCATACAAGAACTGTACAGAACACTCCTGTTCCTACCCTGCCTTGACCTATCCCTGGCTGAAACAGGAATGATTACCACTGGCAGAAACAAAATCCACCAATAAACATCATTTAGAAGTGTACGTCTTATTCATTATCACTGAGTAAATGTTTAAGTGTTTCTTTCTTACTTGAAAGGGCAGGGAAAATATATCTATAATTTCAGCAAGTGAGGTCCACTTTAAAATGACAAATCTGCAAAAACAATGCAGGAAAACAATGGACTTAACTCATTTCTGTAATTCTTAAAAACAATGCCACCCAGGAACTAAATGGGTTCTGCATTATGGGGTTCATCTTTATATTGCCTCTGCTTTGAAATGAGATATAAGTATAGTCTCCTTACAGGAAAACATCAGCAAAGCTCTGGATGCAGATTACTAGAAGCCATGAAATGCCCATTTGGAAAACAGATCAGGTTCACAGACTCTGCATAGTTAAGTGTTCTGCTTGAAGGGACTAGGACAATGATTTCTTATACTTCACTTTCACTGTATTTATTTTCATTAAGAGTAACGTGGCATGTTAAGACTTTTGATTTGAATATTCATTATTTGCACTTACACTTAAGAGTATTAGGGCCAAAGTCTTATTGATAACACAGTCAGAATTCACTGGCATGGAACTTATTTTGATACTGTAGTTCGTATTAGAGGCATGTTGAATACTCTTTTTCTGGTGCATCGCCCTGTCAGAAACAAAGATTGCTCCACTGCCAGTCCAAATTACTGAATATGAGATCTGCGAAAGGTTGTGTACACTGGTGCTCCTTTAGATCATGAAAATTTCAGTTTCACAATGACAAATACAAAAACGGTATTAAAGAATCCTTTTCCATGTTTTCCAGTTTAATCAAAGATACAAGTGTAACTCACTAGATAAATCAGTGCTAAGAGACACAAATAGCCTCTGTCAGGCTACAGCGATAAAGCTCATAGTAAGCTCTCTTGACAACTTAATGGCACATAAACAGAATATATAATTTTGAGTTTTTTGTCCACCATGAAACAGCTGCTTTTCAAGTGGCAGCACTTGGGAAAGATTACATGGTGTTGGCCTATGCTCAAAATGGCCACAATCAAACACTCAGGCTGCCCATAGATTCTTTTTACCGATAACGATCTTCCAGCCAATGGAAAGCCTTTAAGTCCTGGATTAGAACTGCTAGAAATCTATCTCCTCGCAGTCTCATGTTTAACCTCTGCCGAAAGAGAGATCTCCAGCCATGTTGCTGTCAACTACTAAATCAGGACTTGCCTCGACAGAAGCTCTGGTTGCCCCGGGAATAATCCAACACTGACGAAGAAATTCACAAATTTAATAAAATCGCCGTGACACGTTCGCATTGATCAGGCCATTGCTAAGAAGCCTTGTGCTGAACAGTGCGATCACAGTGGAACCTTCCTTTCACCTCTGAAAATAATGCTCCACACAAAGCTCGGCGAATTACTGATTAGCCCACTGTAATCATGTGCGAGATGACAGGGGATCAATTATATATTAAAATGTGACAGTCGATTATTTCACACTCCAAGACGGACTCAAACCTTTCAATCCGCTACTGGACTGACGGGCACTAACGCATGGCCATGCGGTAACTGCTGACATGACTAGAGACGGCAACAGCCGAAAGGGGTTTGCTTTAATTAAACCGTTCGCACCAATCAACCAAGAGTGAGAAACTGTCCGTTTGATCATAATTTGGAGGACTCCCAGAAAACCTCCCTGGCCCCCGCCTACGCCCCCCCCACCCCACCACACCACCTCAGCAGGCCTTCTAATTAGCTATATAATGGATTTCATTTCCAGGATCCCGGCCTTCAATCAGCACTCTAATCCACTTTGCGGCGTACAAATCAAAACAGTAAAAACACCAGCATTACTCGCCGAAGCTGTCAGAGTCGATTATTCGGCCGTGGGCCTCTGCGAGGGCTCCAGGCAGAGAGCTGGGCATGAAAGGACAACAAGCAGCATGGAGCAACGGCAGGCAGGGATTTGGTTTCTCTCCTCCTGATGAACTGCGTTCCGATGCAGTCGGCACACAAGGCCGGCCACGCTCGAGCGAAACAGAATATCGCCGTGAGAAGACACGAGGTTGTTGGCACGTCGACTTCCTGCTGAAAACCCGCTGAGCTTTCGTGAAATATCTCTTCCTTTTGGCCCTACTTGCTGTCTGTGTGTATTTATCTCAATTTTCCCTGAACAACCTTTCTTGTTTGTTTTCCTAAGGGGTCTCCTTCTTGGCTTGTTCCCAAGGCTGGGGGAAACCTACTATCCTTTGTGAAATTACAACAGCATGATAGATCAGGAAAGGCCTTAAAACTGTAAACAGTGTCCAGAGCAACCCCAACAATTCACACTGACCCACAGGCACAAAGATTGATCACACCAAAGGTCACTAAGGTCAGCCTTTACTCTCCCATCCCCCCTCCCCTAAACATCTTTGTTCAATCATTTTTTTTAAGTCAATCAATCGGAAACTCTTCCCCTGAACATCTCCATCTAAATTGTTTTTTTTTTTGTCCAAGGAAAGATACTCTTATCAAAAAAAAATGTGTGCTAAGGTCAGTGGCTAAATAATGTTGACTTAAAGGGGAACTGCAGTCCCAATTTCTTAGACCGGTTATTAAATCTCAGTAACACATCAAATTCATTGACAGTATAGAAAAATTTTGAACTAACCACAAAACTGTGAAATTTGTGAAAGTACTGTAAGTCACCATGTTGTCACAAACACCTGGTCTCGTCATGGGCGAGAGCGAGAGTTTGCAAAAATTATGGTGGCTCTGTGGCTCAGGATCTGCGCCTGACCCCGAGCTTCTCTCTCCCTATCTGTGTGACTGTGTCTCATGGAAAGCAA